TTATATTTTCGAGGGTATACGTGGCACGTGTCCCGCGCCACGTGCCACACATGACCCATGCAAGCCCATTAGCTGTTGGGTGTCTAGGCGTATACCAAATATGGATCGGCCAAGTCGTTGCCGAGATATAGCGAGGGGAATATTTTCGAGGCAGGGACGTGTCCAGAACCTTTCGATGGCGGGGGAGGGGGCTGGGTACAGTGGTCCCAGTCATCCCTTGCAGACGGGCTCATCTGTAGCGGCCTTAGCCAGAAAATGTGGAAAATTGGCAGGTGAAGGTGTCATTTTTCCCTGAATAGTATGCATAAAATGCACAGAATCTAATGAGCGAGCGAACGCCTCAGAGTCACCGGTGTGGGTCCCTCGGACGCACTGGTGTGGGGCTCTCGGAGGTGCCGGTGAAAGGCCATCAGATGCAATGGTATGGGGTCCTCACAGGCGCCGTTGTTGGGGCCTTAGGGCTTAGAGACACTGGTGGGGGCCATCATAGGCATGTGTGGGGCCCTGAAAGTTACTAAGCCCTCAGAGTCACTGGTAAATGCCGTCAGATGCGCTAGCGGAGGGCCCTCAGAGGCGCCGGTGTGGGGCTCTTAGAGCTGCCAATGTGGGCTTTTAAGGGGCACTGGTGTGGGGCCCTTAGAGGTGACGGCGACGGCCCTCGCAGGCGCCAATGTGAAGGCCCTCAGAAGCACTGGTGTGGCTCGTGGGGACATAACAGACGGGTGTGGGGTCCTTACAGCTGATCCCTCATTGGCCAGCTAGGCCCTCAGAGGCCGGCACTAGGTCCCTCTGAAGCAGGCGTGGGGCCCTTCTGGATATAAGTGTGGCTACATAAGAGCCCACGATTTGCTATCACAAGCCCTGTGGAGTCCTTTCCAGTTGAAGGGTGGCTAGCGTGGACCCTCTGCCGCCAATTGGCACCACAGGGCCCTTCGGGCACGGGGGAACCTAAACCCGATAACGAACACATGCCCCCTCGCCCTCTGGTTATGCCACTGAATCCAAGTGATCAGGGGCCACTTATCGGGGGCGTCTCAGGTGACCAGGGGCCTTTCAATTGACCAGAGCCCACTAGGTGACCAGGGGAGGGGATCCTCTAATAACCAGGGGCCAGGGGCCAGTAACATGGCCCCTCAGGTGACCAGGGTTTCTTCAGATCGCTGCCCAGGGGCCACCCAGGTGATCATGGGTCCCTCAGGTAACTAGGGACCATCATATAACCAGGGACCCGTCAGGTAACCAGAGCCCCTCAGATAACCAGGAGCCCCCCATATCCAGGGGCCTCTCGGATGACCAGGGGCCTCTCAGATAACCAGGGTCCCTCAGATGACCAAGGGACCCTCAGATAGCCAGGGGCTCCTCAGATAACCGGCTCCGACCCCGGCTCCGTCACCCGCTCCGGCTCCGGCAGTGATGGAGGTGGCGCCGTAGCGTCTGAACCGGCTCCAGCCGGTCGGCTGTGAAGAGTTGCAGCGAGCCGTCGCGGTCGGCGGCCACCAGGCGGCCCGCCGGCTCGGTGAGCGCGGCCGCCGTCAGCCAGCGCTGTCCGCTCGGCGGCAGCAGGTGGCGCCGCTCCTCCGCCAGACAGTCGCCGACGTTTGTGAGAAGGCGCAGCCGGCCGTCGCCGTCTCCCACCAGGAGCCGGCCGCCGTCCAGCCAGTGCAGGCTGTGGATCCTGTCGGCCAGGACTTGGCGCTCAGCTGCCTTCACCAGGGTGTCGCCGTCGGGTCTGAGGGTGACGAGGTGGCCGTGCCTGCCGGCCAGCGCCGCCCAGCCGTGCGCGCACGGCGCCGTCGCCGCCGCCGGCGGCCAGCCGGCCCGTCTCGGCGTGCCCGGCGGCGGCGCGCACACTGGCGCCACCGTGCGCGCGCCAGCGCCGCTCGAGCAGGCCGGCAATTTGTGCTATGTATGCAATTTGTGCAATTGCATACAGATCTCTAGGCCCATTTCTTCTCTATCGAGCAGTGTTGACTGCATGTCGCTGCGACGTTTTGTTGCCGAGTTATTGGCCTTGAAGCCGGCTGGCGCCCGTCCAATCGGCCAATTTCACACGATTCTCGCCGCCACTCATGTTGAGGCCTGGGGCCAGGACATGCCCCCACTTCAGCGCGTGCAGACACAAAACGGCTCTACCAATCACTGTGAAAAGTTGACACGATGGTGGCCACAGATGATGGGAGATTCTCGTGTTAAAATTTCAGCTCTGCAGGTGCCGCCGTTGTCGAGATATTGAGCGATTTATTTTGTGACACACCACGTACAGACTTCACGTAATTAATTATATTGATTGAATTTTTTATCAGGTCGCCTTTCGGCCTTTACACCTTGCAAAATTGTGGACTAACTACGCAGTCTTGCAAGCTCGGTTCTGTTGTTCTGATTCTGGTGTAGGTACAGTCCACAGCAAAAGTAATGTAGGGTTTCAGTCATGGGTATGTTCTGCTTCTGAAGCTTAGGAACGATTAGCCAGACTACAATGAAACTTTGAATGTAGCTTATATGGATCGTCACCCTTGCAGCTGCAACTTTAGCTATTGACATCTTCTTTTCGATCACTCCGCATTAAACAATCGCCAGTCAAAGCCAACCGTTGAGATTGGTAAAACCCTACATTACTTTAGCGGTGGGCTGTACCTACAGAGTCCAGCATATACAACTGGAGCGTATGGATTGTCTCACCATCTGATTTCTCTTCCTACCCTTACCCTTCCTACCCTTCTCTTCCTTAAGCACTAAAAGACAAGTTCAGGATGATATCTAGAAGATGGTTTCACCCCGATATCACCGGCTTTGAGGCAGAGAAGATGCTGAAAACTCGCGGTTTCAACGGCAGTTTCCTTGCAAGACCGAGCAAATCGAATCCAGGAGACTTCACACTTTCAGTCAGACGGAACGACGAGGTCGCACACATCAAAATACAAAACGCTGGCGACTTTTACGACCTGTATGGGGGCGAGAAGTTTGCCACGCTCACCGAGCTCATCCAGTTCTACATGGAGAAACAGGGACAGTTGAAGGAGAAGAATGGAGAGGTGATCGAGCTCCGGCATCCGCTAAACTGCGCCGACCCCACCACAGAAAGATGGTTCCACGGCCACTTACCAGGGCGAGAGGCAGAGAAGCTGATGATCGAGAAGGGCAAGAACGGCAGCTTCCTCGTGAGGGAATCGCTCAGCAAACCGGGCGACTACGTGCTGTCAGTGCGGACAGATGACCGAATCACCCATGTCATGATACGGTGCCAGGACGGCAAGTATGACGTAGGCGGGGGTACAAGATTCGACACTCTAGCCGAGCTGGTGGACCACTACAAGAAGAACCTGATGGTTGAGACCACCGGCACCGTGGTCCACCTGAAGATGCCCTTCAACGCGACCCGTATCAACGCCAGCGGCATCGACAATCGCGTCAAGGAACTGCAGAAGGAGCACGGCGCCGGCTTCTGGGAGGAGTACGAGTCACTTCAACAGCAGGAGTGTAAGCACCTCTACAGCAGAAAGGAGGGCCAACGCGCCGAGAGCAGAAACAAGAACCGCTACAAGAACATCCTACCGTTCGATCACACCCGGGTGATTCTGCGGGACCGCGAGGCGCTCGGGCCCGGAGCGGACTACATCAACGCCAACTACATCACGCCGGAGGAGGACTCGCTAGCGGGCGAGGCCCCCAGTAAGACGTACATCGCCACCCAGGGCTGCCTCCCGACCACGATCGCCGACCTCTGGTGGATGGTCTGGCAGGAGAACTCGCGTGTCATCGTCATGACCACCAAGGAGGTCGAACGCAGCAGGGGTAAATGCGCGCGCTACTGGCCGGAGGTGGACAATGAGGCCACCTATGGCAGCATGACGGTGTCAAACATCTCGGAATCGACCACCGTCGACTACACTCTGCGGGCTTTCAACGTCAAAAAGAAGGGCTGCAGCGAAGAACGGAAAATCTACCACTATCACTTCCGGGCATGGCCGGACCACGGCGTACCTACCGACCCTGGGTGCGTTCTCAACTTTCTCCACGACGTCAACTCGCAGCAGGGGAGTATCGCAGGCGCCGGCCCGATCGTCGTGCACTGCTCGACCGGCATCGGACGGACCGGCACATTCATCGTCATCGATATGATCCTCAGCCAGATCGACAGGCAGGGTCTGGACACGGAGATAGACATCCAACGTACGATCCAGCAGGTTCGCTCGCAGCGCTCCAGTATGGTACAGACAGAGGCGCAGTACAAGTTCGTCTATCTGGCCGTTCAATACTATATCGAAACGATCCAGCTCAAACTGCAGGCCGAGCATGTGAGTCAGAAGATGGGCCGTGAGTACACCAACATCCGCTACTCGACGGAGGCGGCCGGCGCTCCCGGCTCGGAAACCAAGGACGGCCGGAGGTGGGGACGCGGTCAGGGCGCCTGCTCGGCCGGCTGCAGACCAGGCCAGCTGTGTGTGCTCCACCTCCTCGCTCAGCCGGTGGGCGAGCAGCAACGAGACGGGCGCGCCACGCCGCAAGGGCGTCACCTTCTCCGACACACTGTCCACGGACACCGGCCCGGCCGGAGTGGCAGGGACAGCAGGAGCGGAAACAACAGCTCCAGCAGCGGCAGGAGCGGCTGGTTCGGACTCCTCAGATACTACCTCTGCCTCGGAGGCGGCTCGGAGGCGCGTGGCGGCGCGCCGGCTCCCGGCCGCTGCCGCCACGGACGAGCTGACGCGTGAGCTGCTGGCGCGCGGGCAGCAGCTGTCATTGTATTTTACTTTCCCTGACATTTTTCGAGACATTGTATTTTACTTTCCTGGAATTTGTATCTTTCCTTTTCATCATTTCCAAACATTATGTCCGTTTTGGGCGGTGCACTCTAATCTGGTGCATCGCCGCGCAGGCTGCTGCGGTTGGGAACTGTACGTGCGTTCGGTGCCGGTGACAGGCACGTTGTATATTCAGTATGTCCGCACCAGTGACATGTGGCGGATCGCGCTGGACAACATTCGCTGGTCAGTCGCCGGCCATTGTATGCCATACTATACCAAGCTTTGTTGCACCATTTCTGCACATGTTTCAGAGCTATGAAGCGTAAAAGGTGTTTTTTTACGCGCCCGCGAAAGCGGATCGCCAGACACCAGACGTTCCAGGTAAGCGTTTCTCAATAAGATTTTTTACTGTTTTTTTTTACCGTGCTTGCTGTTCCTAATTGGTTGTTAAAACATCATCTAAAAGTCACTCCAGCTTTTGCATCATCTTTCTACTGGTAGTGTGTGTTCAGCGGCGTCGCCATGGATTTTCGGCGGGGGATGGATGGGTTGGCATGGGTGGTCGGGTCAGTCAAGATAACACATACCAAAAATTGAAAAGTTGCCGGTTTTCGGTCACAATTTTTTAGCGTACCTACCTACAACAAAACAAAGTTTATAATATTTTATTTCATTTTTTTATTTCATTTTCGGTTCCCAAAAGTAGGGGTCAACCCGCGTTTTTCAGAAGCGCAGGGCCACGACCCATGCGACCCCCCGTGGTCGTCGCGCCTGTTTGGGGTGAGAGTTTGAACACCCCTTCTATCTCGGCTTCTATTAGTCATAGAGAACAACACAAACAAGCTTTCGGACAACGACGTCGCCGCGGATTTTCGACTGTGATTTTCGATTTTCGAGTGCCGGATTGGACTGTCAGTCAGAGTTCCCCTACCAAAAACTGAAAAAAATCCCTGGATTTCGGCCACTCTTTTTAGCGGCCAGCAAAATAAGATTGAAAATATTTGATTTAATGTTATTTCGATTTCGGCACCCAAAAGTGAGGGGTCAACCCCCGCAGGGGCGGATCCAGAAAATCTCCAAGGGAGGGGCCATTAGAAACCAGGAGGCCCCCCCCCATAATCCCACCTGTTGGAGGCCCCATCTTCCCACTTGTGGCCCCCCCCAAAAAAAAACTGCGTCTATTGAGCTTATCTAGCTGTTCAGGCAACATCTCAACATCTGTGCAGGCTTGGAGGCCCTCTGTGCAGGTTAGGAGGCCCTGTAAAAGTGGTCATCTCTGTGAGTATAAGAGACCTCCAAGTTATGAAAAGCTTTACCAATCTTCTAACAAAGAAGTCTTCTCAGCTAGTCTTCTAAGAAATAACTAAGTGGGTAGGTTAAAAAAAACTCATCGGATTTCGGCCACTTTATTTTCAGGAGGCCCCCTTTTCAGCTTTTTAACTTTTTAACTTTTTATTTTATTTTTGAAAAAATCGGCCAAGGGGGGGCCATGGCCCCCATGCCCCCCCTTGTATCCGCGCCTGAACCCCCGTGGTTTTAAGAGATGTGAGGGATTTATGATCTCAGGGACCCCCAGTGGCGACGCCCCTGCTTGCGGAAGCTCATCAAAAATAATTATCTTACAATCTGTGTATCTTGCCGTTGTTCGGCTCGGGTTAAAATTGTAGAATCCGCTATCAAACGTAAGCAGTAAGTTTTTGAAAAGCTTTTGTTGAATATCGCGATTTGCTGTACACATTGATGGAAAAGCGGAACAAGCTATATAGAGAGGAAAACAATTGATTATTGTTTTGTTTCCTTTTCAGGAGTTTTATATCGTTGAAAATATCCTAGCATATGACAGGGGACGAAGACAGTACCTCATCAAATGGCAAGGCTACACGTAAGTTGTAAAACTAATCAAAGAAGCATCCTTATTTTTTTTTTGTAGTTTTCTGTTTGCATGTTTCGCCGTTTGAAGCTGATCGTCTTCTCCAACCAGCTGTTAGCAGCCTTGCTTTTTCAGTAGGTACTTACTTCACGAAATGGCTTTTATTTTATGCACGTTACTATGTGTTAGAGTGTGCATATCTGTTATAAAGTTTCAATTACTTGCTTTCACGATCCAGTCAAGAACATCAATCACATCACCAAAACACCGTGTAAAGCAATTCACACCGTCACGGTTACCTGACTCACACAATAATTAACAGACAGGGATATATATGGTTGAACTAAGCTCCCCAACTTCCCGTGATGACATTGGCCTCGGCCGGCCCTCTGATATCGAATATTAACCCTCGCGGGCCCGGGGGGGGGCGTTTTTCGCCCCCCCTGGCGAATATTTGCGATAACTCCCGAACGCTTAGGGTAAGGAAGGCGAAACTTTCAGTACCTTTTCTCCCATCAATTTGACATCTTCTCAAGTAAAAAATTTGGACCTAGCCCCCTTGATGACGTCACAAGGTCCATTTTTCTAGACCCCTGCACGGCAAACTTTGGCGTCACAGACGCAAACTTCAAATAGCTGCTAAAAATAGAGTTTTAGAGATAAAGACAAATTACGAGCACGGCTGTGTAGCGTTTGACCTAGAGAAAAATAGAAAAATAGTTTTGGTGACCTGAGGTCAGAGGTCAGGTCAACGACCCCAAAATGTGGTTTTAGTTTTTCGCAAATAACTTCGACAAAAATGGTCCTAGAGCTACGGCAGTGGTACCATCGCATTCGCCTTGTCAAGCCGCGTCGAATGATATATATTTTGTTCGGAAAAGGTCAAGTTTCATGTTGACCTCATGTGACCTCGAATGACCTCTGGTTGACCTTGACACATGAAAGGTCGTTTATGATGGATTTGTACCCGCTGATCACGAATCTGACATCTATTTTCCTCTAAGCTTTCATTTAGAGCTTCCGGATGGCAAAATTGTCTTATTTATTATTACTAACTTGAACCAGTGAAATAGCCTCTAGCAGGGATACTCTTCTGTGACCTTGACCTTTGAGCAGCCTTGTATCGTAAGATGAACCACAAATAGGGAACTGATAAGCCTCAAAACATTTCAAAACATCTTGGAAGTTAGCACGCAAGATGTGCGAAAAAGTGCCAAGTTTGAGGTCAATTTTGAGCGTGACCTTGACCTTGACCTTTGATTTCGAGCACATTTTCAGAGTCCTTAGATTCTCTTCTTTCGTTTGACACCCAATTTTGCCGGTTTGATGCAGCCTGCCGTCCTCTAGAAGGCTTACTTTGAGATCACTACACATGTGCCGGTTTTGGCCTTTGACCTTGACCTCTGACCTTGAAAATTGACCTGAGGTCAAAAATTTTAGGTGCATTAGAATCGTCTCGTAAGGACCTTTCGTTTGGTATCGCTTTTGTTTCCGTAGCTCCCTTATTTACGGAGTTAGACAGGGGGGGCGAAAAACGCCCCCCCCCCGGGCTGCGGTGGTTGGGATTACCCCCCGGGCCCGGCCGGGTTAAGGACACGAGACCCTCAGAACCCCCTAGACAAGAGATTCAGACGCGATTTCTAATCATTGATGTCGGCGAGAGTGCGCACTGCGCAGCCGGGCACTCAACCACTTCCATTCACAGATACAACCACCATTTGCCCCCAAGCGTACTTCATTGACACTAAATGTTTAACCCGCGCACCGACGGGGGTCTGCGCCAACTTAGTACCGACGGGGGGGGGGCGGATGACCGCCCCCCCCCTGAGATCTCGAGAACGAAGCAAGATAGCGACAAGCGGTAAACGGCATCGGATACGCACGGTCAAGATCTACAATTTTTACTGAGGTCATTTTCAGGTCAGGTCAAAGATGACGTCACAGGGGTCGAAAAAGTCAAAATGGCGGCGCTAAATATGGAGAGAGTTTTTCTCGAATAACTTTCGAATTAGTCAAGATAGGAACAAACTAAGGGCATCATCGTGATCCTCTCGTCAATCCGCATCGAATGATATATATGTTGACCTCGAAAGGTCAAGGTCAAAGGTTGACCTCAGGTCACGTGACCTCGAGGTCATCATGTATATCATTCGATGCGTCTTGACGAGCTGAACACAATGAGACCATCCACGCGTCTGTATCTTGTTCCTGTACGGAGTTATTGGCCAAAAACCTTTGGTGACCTTTGATGACGTCACATGACCTCACAGCTGCCCAACAGCAAAACAGACCTCAAGGTAGTGAAGGTTGATCGTATATGAAGTCATGTATGGTATATGGGGCCATTCCGACCCGTTTTAGTGGTAAAAACAGGGAGTTGATTTTTCCCCCATTGACTTATAATGGGGAGGTCGCGAAATTGACCTGACCTTAGGTCACCGATATCAAAATTCCGAGATATACAAATTGTAGCTACTAATGACCTAATAACATCCTGAGACTTTCAAAGGCCTCCGACATCTACTGTAGCTCTGGCACGGTGACAAAGTTGCAAAAAAGTGACTTGAGGTTGGGTCATTCAAAGTGACCTGGTGACCTGACCTTGAAAGGTAGGAGGTTCAAACTTGCACACCATGTGTAAAATTGATAAGGGAATAGTCATACCAAATTTCGCGGCGCTACGCGCCGCGGTTTTCCCGCTATTCGCGAAAAACCTCAGGGGGGGGCGGATATCCGCCCCCCCCCGTCGGTGCGCGGGTTAAGGCTATTACAACTAGAGATAGTTCTGATAAGATATAATCTCGGCTGCTTACTCTATATTCTCGGTTAGTCGTTTATTATTGGTTGGTTCTAATTTTTATTATTGATAACAACTTCGATGCGAAAGTCGAAAATGCATACCAACGAACAATTAACGACTAGTAGTTGAGAATATCTCTATCAGTTCATTGACACTGTTTCTTTGTAACTCGATTTATCCTAGAATGCTTCTTTACCTGGTTCTAACCTGTTTCGTTTTCTGTTTCTTTCACCCGGTTATAATGAAACGTTCAAGTTTTGTATAGCTCGGTTTCTGATTACCCAGCCCCCCACTCCCTCCTTTCTTGGTGGTTTGTTTCAATGCATTTCTTTTCCAATCGTTGTCCTGAAGCCTGTTGTTAACCTACTCGTACACGTTTTTCATGTTTGTCTTCATTATTTTTCGCCATGCCCACTTTGTCATCTCCATGGTCTCCCACCACATTGTTTTGTGTTATTATTGGGTTGTTATGTGCGCTAAATGGCCTTAACAGTCGGTGCGTCCTAAAACCTAAATCCTCATTATCATTATCCTTTCCTTTACAGCGAACAGACATGGGAGCCCGAACGAAACTTTGACCCTACCCTGGTAGCGTCCTTCCTTAGGGGTAAGTGTGCATTGCTGTATTGCTGTATATGAACGCAGCTCAACTACTTCTATGCAATGATCAGAACTTTTGGCTACCCTCCGGTAAAGTTCGCGTGATTTGAGCATTTCCGCTTTTCTTTAACCATTCCTTGTATTTTGTAACAAATTTTCAAAAATGTTTTTAATTATTTTCGATACGTTATATGTATACCTACCCTTGTGGCTCACAGCAATAGGTATCGGGGATATTTCTTTCCAGTGTTTCAAAAAAAAATAATAATAATTGAATATGCGTTGTGTACGTATGACCTACCTATACCTTTAAACATGCATTGTGTTTACATTCTTATGTATTTTAAGCTACGATAACAAACAGTATCACTTACGTCATGCTAACACCATCTTTTACAACAGATGGCGTCCTGCCGGACGGCACCGCCCCGCCGGCCTCCGCTCAGCCGGATGGCGCCGTCTCGCCGGCCTCCGCTCAGCCGGATGGCGCTGCCCCGCCGGCCTCCCCATCAGTCACCAGGGCGGTGGAACGGGGTGAGTGAGTGACCCTACTCAAAGGGAGTGTCATTGTAGTCATTAAAGGCATACAGTGGCTATATTTTTTTTCCACGGCCATATTTCCACAAGCAGAGCGGTTTGCTGACTGGGAAACGAGAGGGGTGGGGGCCGTTTTTCTCTGAACTATGCTTTTGCTATATGTTTATGACGAACTTATAACCATGTTTAAAGGCTGTCCCAAATATTAAAAAAAAAAGACTCTTGACAAGCTCTAATAGTTTTAATACTTCTTGGTCGGAATACCCTGACATGCGCTTTTTCGCGGTTTTGACCCCACCCAAAAGCTAAACATGCGACCGCTCGTGCAAGAAATGCACACCGGCAGACTCGCAACCGCCTGCAACACTCAGTTTGAGGCGGCTTAAAGGCACGATGTTTAATGATTATTAAGCACATTCAACTAAGTTTTTCAATGCATAACCGTCTTTTTTTGTGCGCCAGGCGACTCTCTGCTGGATGGCGCCACCCCGCCGGCCTCCGCTCAGCTTGATGGCGCCGCCCCGCCGGCCTCCGCTCAGCCGGATGGCGCCGTCTCGCCGGCCTCCGCTCAGCCGGATGGCGCCGTCTCGCCGGCCTCCGCTCAGCCGGATGGCGCCGTCTCGCCGGCCTCCGCTCAGCCGGATGGCGCCGTCTCGCCGGCCTCCGCTCAGCCGGATGGCGCCGTCTCGCCGGCCTCCGCTCAGCCGGATGGCGCTGCCCCGCCGGCCTCCCCATCAGTCACCAGGGCGGTGGAACGGGGTGAGTGAGTGACCCTACTCAAAGGGAGTGTCATTGTAGTCATTAAAGGCATACAGTGGCTGTATTTTTTCCACGGCCATATTTCCACAAGCAGAGCGGTTTGCTGACTGGGAAACGAGAGGGGTGGGGGCCGTTTTTCTCTGAACTATGCTTTTGCTATATGTTTATGACGAACTTATAACCATGTTTAAAGGCTGTCCCAAATATTTTAAAAAAGACTCTTGACAAGCTCTAATAGTTTTAATACTTCTTGGTCGGGATACCCTGACATGCGCTTTTTCGCGGTTTTGACCCCACCCAAAAGCTAAACATGCGACCGCTCGTGCAAGAAATGCACACCGGCAGACTCGCAACCGCCTGCAACACTCAGTTTGAGGCGGCTTAAAGGCACGATGTTTAATGATTTTTAAGCACATTCAACTAAGTTTTTCAATGCATAACCGTCTTTTTTTTTGTGCGCCAGGCGACTCTCTGCTGGATGGCGCCACCCCGCCGGCCTCCGCTCAGCTTGATGGCGCCGCCCCGCCGACCTCCGCTCAGCCGGATGGCGCCGTCTCGCCGGCCTCCGCTCAGCCGGATGGCGCCGTCTCGCCGGCCTCCGCTCAGCCGGATGGCGCCGTCTCGCCGGCCTCCGCTCAGCCGGATGGCGCCGTCTCGCCGGCCTCCGCTCAGCCGGATGGCGCCGTCTCGCCGGCCTCCGCTCAGCCGGATGGCGCCGTCTCGCCGGCCTCCGCTCAGCCGGATGGCGCTGCCCCGCCGGCCTCCCCATCAGTCACCAGGGCGGTGGAACGGGGTGAGTGAGTGACCCTACTCAAAGGGAGTGCCATTGTAGTCATTAAAGGCACACAGTGGCTGTATTTTTTTCCACGGCCATATTTCCACAAGCAGAGCGGTTTGCTGACTGGGAAACGAGAGGGGTGGGGGCCGTTTTTCTCTTAACTATGCTTTTGCTATATGTTTATGACGAACTTATAACCATGTTTAAAGGCTGTCCCAAATATGTTAAAAAAAGACTCTTGACAAGCTCTAATAGTTTTAATACTTCTTGGTCGGGATACCCTGACATGCGCTTTTTCGCGGCTTTGACCCCACCCAAAAGCTAAACATGCGACCGCTCGTGCAAGAAATGCACACCGGCAGACTCGCAACCGCCTGCAACACTCAGTTTGAGGCGGCTTAAAGGGAGATAATGAGCTTTCTTTTTTCTTAAATAAAAATTACTCGACATCTATACTATTTCTACTGTAGTTTCTATAAAATATGAAAATTTCCTAGCACATTTTCGTATGTGAAAAAGGTTTTTATTTTTGCAAAAAAGAAGCAGTACTTGCAGTACTTGTAACACCCACCGAAATGCGTTGTCCTTCTCTATAAAAAAAAGTCGCAGTATATGGCGCTTTTGTTTCAAACAGCGACGCTTGGGTTTTTGTTTATGTTATCGCCTTGTCGTTGCTTGGTTGTAAGGATTCTAATTTGAATTAGAGTTAATTCGGTTTAGAATTAATTAGATTCTAATTCGGGGGTACACAGTGCCTACTCTTCTTTGTTTCTAAGTATTATTTTGCGCCACAAATGAACGGCATGCGCCAGAAACGCAGCCAAATCTTGCGATTGCGACTACGAAATTCATTATTTTGGCCTCAGAGCCTGAAGCGAAAAATACAAGCACATTTATTTCAAAAAGACTTCAGGTTTGTCGAACGGTGTTATGAGAATTTTGATAACAGTACTGCATAAGTTTTTCAGTGATGCCGCAAAAGTGTTGTATCTATCTTCTTTTATTGTGCAGTCGGCGGGACCGATTCAAAATTGAGTCGTTGCTACTAAAATAGCAGCATATGGCGACAGATGATGAACAGGAAAAATAGTTGCATAAATTTAGACATAAACCACCCCCAAACCATGAATATCTTTTGAAGGCACTATAGACGACCAATAACTAACTAGATGTGATGAAGATCAAATGTAAGGAATACGCTCATTTTACAAAATTACATGCAAGTACCAAAAAGTGATGTAAGTACTTATTCAACGGTCATTTTCAGCGCTCCCCGCTAACGTGACTTCAAGTTGAGATATTTGCGGCAAGGTACCGAATTGAGCAAAATGGTTTTAATTTACATTATAACTTGTTGTGTTTTGTCAGAAAATGGTCCTAACTCAGATTTTGTGGAAAAAGGTCATAATCTCCCTTTAAAGGCACGATGTTTAATGATTATTAAGCACATTTAACTAAGTTTTTCAATGCATAACCGTCTTTTTTTGTGCGTCAGGCGACTCTCTGCTGGATGGCGCCACCCCGCCGGCCTCCGCTCAGCCGGATGGCGCCGTCTCGCCGGCCTCCGCTCAGCCGGATGGCGCCGTCTCGCCGGCCTCCGCTCAGCCGGATGGCGCCGTCTCGCCGGCCTCCGCTCAGCCGGATGGCGCCGTCTCGCCGGCCTCCGCTCAGCCGGATGGCGCCGTCTCGCCGGCCTCCGCTCAGCCGGATGGCGCCGTCTCGCCGGCCTCCGCTCAGCCGGATGGCGCCGTCTCGCCGGCCTCCGCTCAGCCGGATGGCGCCGTCTCGCCGGCCTCCGCTCAGCCGGATGGCGCCGTCTCGCCGGCCTCCGCTCAGCCGGATGGCGCCGTCTCGCCGGCCTCCGCTCAGCCGGATGGCGCTGCCCCGCCGGCCTCCCCATCAGTCACCAGGGCGGTGGAACGGGGTGAGTGAGTGACCCTACTCAAAGGGAGTGTCATTGTAGTCATTAAAGGCATACAGTGGCTGTATTTTTTTCCACGGCCATATTTCCACAAGCAGAGCGGTTTGCTGACTGGGAAACGAGAGGGGTGGGGGCCGTTTTTCTCTGAACTATGCTTTTGCTATATGTTTATGACGAACTTATAACCATGTTTAAAGGCTGTCCCAAATATTTTAAAAAAGACTCTTGACAAGCTCTAATAGTTTTAATACTTCTTGGTCGGGAATCAAAACGTATCTGTAAAAAACTCAAATGTTATATTGACTTTTTGTCCCTATGACGTAATTGCTGACAGGACCTAAAAATGACCCGTTTGCGTGATGTTGGCCTGGGCGCCAGTTGGTGTGTGGTCTTTTCAGTCTCATTTGACCGATTTTTTCGTTTTATTCACAGAATCGTTGGAGTGCTTGCCTACGGCCGTGGTGCCTCCAATGGTGCAAGCACAAGAATCTGATACAGAATCGGAGCTCACTGCCACAGGTGAGTGATTTTGTCCAGCAATACGTTTTTTTTTTTGACAATGCATGTTTTATAAGTGCTTCGAAATCTTGATTATTTTGAAATGGCACGGCTACTCCCGTTACATGACAATGAATCATAATGCACACAGGGCAAGCGGAAATTCTTGGTCGGATGTTTTATAACAAAGCCAAGATCGTTATTTGGGACCCAGTAAACATGCCGACGTCGGCCCGACGTCGGCCGACGTCGGGGTGACGTCGGCAACTCGGCATCCGCATGCCGACGTCGGCCCGACGTCGGTCCAACCTCGGCACGACGTCGGCTGGATGTCGGATATGCCCGCATGTACCGACGTCCAGCCGACGTCGGGGCGACGTCGGACCGACATCGGCCGTTGTTTTTACCGTTAAAATAATATAAAATACATGTTTCATGTTTCATAAAGAGCTTCTGTATTCAAAATATCCTCAGGAAGCTCAAATCTTCCTCCACGCCGCAACCCCCTGATCCGGACTGGACGGGAAACTTTATCCCATTTGGGATTGCCCGTAAGCCGAGCTCGCCCGTAGCCGGGTGCGGTGAGTGCTTGGGGGCTGCTCGGCCTATCCTTTGGACAGGCTCAGCCCCGGCAACTCACCAGGGCCTGGCCCAGTTCATATAGAAAGGCCAGTCGGCAAGTGTCACTTTGCCAACGTGCGACTTATCAAAGGGACACTTTGGGAAACGTTGGTGCAGGTGTGTAAGAGTGGCTATATGAATCCATTGTGGGGTCGCCCTTTCCAATAAGTGTCACGTAACAACAATGGGACCAGGGACTCTATATGAACTGGACCCAGGGTGCTCGCCAAGAAGACCAATGTCTCCATCCTATCATCCTTCCGGCTCTGAAATGGTCTTGTCAGACCGAAAGGGTATAACCCAACAAAACAAACCACATTAGATATCTGGCTGCGTGGTGTAGCGGTTAGCGCACTAACCTCCCGTTCAAATGGCACGGGGTTCGAATCCCATCGCAGGCTGATGCTTTTGGCCTAAACATGCCGACGTTGGCGACAAGGGGGCTCGAATCCCGCCGCCGGTTGATATTTTTGGCGCGTTGTCCCAATAAACATGCCGACGTCGGCCCCGTCGGTCCAACGACGAACGATCTCGTCAACCTCGGCAAATGACCTCGGCCCGACGTCGGCTCGACGTCGGCTGGACTTCGGCTGGACGTCGGAACATGCGGGCATATCCGACGTCCAGCCAATGTCGGGCCGAGGTTGAGCCGACGTTGGGCCGACATCGGGCCGAGCCTCGGCCCGACGTCGGGCCGACGTCGGCATGTTTACTGGGGAATAATTGATTATTAAGCCACTTATTGCATGTAAAACCGCAAGGTGTTTGATGCAGGTCCTTGATCCAGGGAAGGGTTCTACAATGACGGGCTGAGTCGGTGAAGACACTAGCGGGGCAGCAAAAGAAATATTTCAATGTTCATGTGATATTGTAGCAATAATTTGGTAAGATGACAAAAAAGTAGTGTTTAAGCGTCACAGGTTAGGCTAAGCTTCAAAATTATACATTTCAGCTCTGGTGTTCAGCGACCATGCATCAAGTGATCGACTTAACCCTATTCCTGGCGGGGGGGCCTCAGGAGCCCCCCCCCCTCCTGAGGTTTTTTGGTTATATCTCCCAAACGCTTTGAGCTAGGAAGCTCAAATTTTCTGACTTTTTCTAAAAGGCTTTTACGCAACATTTCTGAAAATTTTGAGTTGATCTGACCTCAGGTCAGGTCACCAGAGGCGGTTTGGTGACCCTACCTCAGAAAAGTTTGCAATCACGCCAGAGCTAGAGTTTTTGACCGATCTATTTGAGACTCCTGACGGGGATGGTCTGCGGTTGGTGGGAGCAGCCGCAGCCAGTTGAAGTCAGTTGAGTGGACAGGCCGTGTCCGGCTTTGAAGGGCACGTTAAACTTTGGCATCTAAATTCTCCCGTTACCTGGAATTGCGCGATCGGATGGTAGCGGTCGGGGTCTACGCAACAAGCTCTGCTTAGCGTGGGCCCCGGCCCTGTCAATCCGTCCATTCAAACATTGGAGCTAAATTTATAAAAAAAAATGAGGCGGCTTCACAAAACAGACATGTGGGTCATGGGCTTGACTGAGCTCAGCGATTGCCCTGAGACTTCAAAACTTATTCCATTAACTGTATCTCGTGACGTCCAACACGCTCAGATTTCGCAAAGTTGTAATCATTTAGGGTCGAAACGTCGCATGGAGTTGAACCCCGTTGTGCTGGAGCACATGCAGAACACATACCAGTTACCACACATGAAGTCTGCTGAATGGTAACGACCCCCTCTCCCTTTCACACTTGCTCGCTCACCTTCTTTCACGTCGTATTCATTTCTTCGCAGATGATGTCCAAGATGACGACTGGGATGATCCCGACTACATACCTGATCACGACTCAGACGAGGACGCGTGCCCTCCTTCAGTGGCCTCAGAAGGGCTTGATGAGCTGCCACGGTACCCTGGACTAGCCGCCGGAGCCGGAGCCGCACCAGCCGCTGGAGGGGCACGGATCGTGTCCCATGATGGGGATGCGCCGCAGATTGGTTCAGAATCCGCTGGTCCCCAGTCGTCCCCTTACCCAGTGGCAATGACCGCGAATAGTCCGGGGCGTCGGAAGTGGAATCGGCGTAATTTTTGTCCCTACTGCGAACGGCCTCACGCGAAATTGACCAGGCATCTTCAGCGGGCACACGCGACGGAGTTTGATGTCGCGATGGCCCTCATGAAACCGGTGCGCTCTCTCCAAAGGCGGAGGGCACTATGTGCTTTGGCAAAGTTGGGCAATTATCGTCACAACATAGCGGTCAGATCTGGGGAGAAAAGAGGGGAGCTTGTCGCGTGTAACAGGGCTCGTACACTGAAATCCGGAGATGACTATCTGGCGTGTAACGTTTGTAAGGGGTTCTTCCTCCGTGCGACCTTGTGGCGACACAAGCGTGTGTGCAACCCTACAGGAGGCGGAAGAGTCCAGGCCGCCGCCAGAGCAGCGATGCCATCGAACAGCGCGACCTCTTCAAAGCTTCGCAAAGTGCTCGACTGTATGTGCATTGATAGTGTGTCCTTGCTCTGCAAAACAGATGACACCATTCTTTTGTTCGGCGAGTATCTTTGCGCTAAGCTAGGCACCGAGAACAAGGATGTACAAAACATCAGGAACAGGATCAGGGAGCTGGGAAGGCTGTTGGAAGTGCTGAGAACGAAGGACCCAGAGGCGAAGCTGAAAGACTTCATCGAACCACGACGGTTTTCGGAACTGACCACAGCCGTTCGTGAAATGTGTGGGTTCAGCTCGGAGAGCCACAAGTATGCCACGCCTTCTTTGGCGCTGAAAATCGGACAGAGCATGAAAGTATGCGCGGAGCAGATCCTGGCTCAGCAGATCGAAAGTGGCAACGAAACGTCACCGACAAGGCAGTTCATTGAATTGTACAACCTTCAGTGGACTAAGCAAGTATCGCGACACGCTCTTGTAACTCTGCAGGAGGCGAAGTGGAACAAAGTAGAAACGATGCCTGTAGCAGCCGACATACAGCTGGTGCATCGCTACCTGGACAATGAAACGGAACTCAAAGTTGCTGAACTCACAAACGATCCCACCCCAGCAACCCACAAAGCTGTGGCAGAACTGGTACTCGCGCGCCTTATAATGTTTAACAGGAGGAGGCAAGGCGAGGCGTCGGCGATGACGATCGACGCTTACCAAAAAGCTACCTCATCTGACGGCACAAATCACCCTGAGGTTACCAGCTCCCTGAGCAGCTTTGAACAGCACTTGGCAGGAAGTCTACTCAGAGTCGTTATCCGAGGAAAGAAGGGTCGCGGAGTGCCGATGCTGCTGACACAGGAGATGCGAAGGACCGTCGACATCTTGCTCGAGCATCGGGAAGCAGCGGGCGTTGGCGCGTCGCAGTATGTGTTTGTCAACTCCATGGCGTCAGACGACAGGCCTCTCAGGGGTGCGGACTGCCTGCGGAAGTTTGCGCGACTGAGCGGGCTCAAGAATCCGGAATCACTTACATCCACCAAGCTCAGAAAACACATTGCAACGCTTTCACAAGTCTTGAATCTCAAAGATAATGAGCTGGACTTGCTAGCCGGATTCCTAGGGCACGACGTCAGGGTACACCGAAGTGTGTACAGAATGCCTGAGGCAACAACCCAGCTGGCTCTTGTCAGTAAGCTCCTTATGGCTTCTGAACAGGGAATGGGAGCATGGAGAGGCAAGAGTCTCGGTGAGATACAGTTTGAGGATATCCCCGATGTGGAAGAGATACCAGATGCAGATGAGGACGCTCAGGCCGAAGAGACTGCTCCGCGAGCTTCTTGTTCTCAAGCAGGAAATGTCACAGAGGCGCAGGACAGTATTGGAGGAGATGCCGAAGAAGCCGAAGAAGTGAGTGAGCCGAGAATGAATGCTCCTCAAGCCGAGGCTGCACGACCGATGAAGAGAAAGAAATGGACACCAGAGGAGGATAGGGCGATTCACAAGCACTTCGCACACTTCATCAGCCGTTTCCAAGTTCCTGGAAAAGTGGACTGTGTGAGGGCGATCGCGGCGGAGAGTGCGTTGTCCGCAAGATCGTGGACAGATGTTAAGAACTGCGTATATAACCGCATACAAAAACGAAAGAAACACGGACACTGACAGGTCACTGACGTGTGAGGTGACTTACGAGTCACCTCACGAGTCACCTCATGAGTCACCTCACGAGTCACCTCACGAGACGTGAGGTGACTCACGTCGCTGTTCAGCTGAGTGTGGATTGTTTTGGGAATACATATTCTCCGTCATTGTCTCTCTTCAGTGTTTTGCTGATACCATTGTATGACAGTAACGAATAGGTACATCTAGTCGAAAGTCAAGGTGGAAATTTCTGAAAGGGTGCCGTGGGAAGGAATGATGTTGAACAATAGTCCCCCCTCTCCTGAAAGTAGATCTGCCAGATATAATGCATTTTCGATAAAAAGTACTATGTATAATTGTCACCAACGCAGCGTAAGATGTATCTAGCAGCAACTACTAATTACTTCCCAGCCAGCAAATTTGGTCTGGGCCGTATTTGCTTTCACTCTGGCTAGCTCCGGCACTCTTGCTCCGGCCGAAGAACGGGCAAGGTCTGTGGCTCTACTGGAGCTGACACACGATCCCGGAGCTCTCCCGCACCACGGCCGGACTTGAGCCATGTCAGTCGTGCCGTACCTCAACCGTACATCAGCCACAGTAAGCCAGAGCAGCTACGAGACACTGCCGGACTTGACCGTAGCACGCCGGACGGTACCACGCCTTGGCCGCACCATAGCCATAGCGCGCCGGACCAGTTCGGAGTACAGCCAGCGCTATCCAGGCCAAACCGTAGCTCGCCTGAGTTGAGCTCATTGGAAATACGCTCTGGCCCAAATCCGGCCCAGAGTTGTACAGTCCACAGCAGAAGTAATGTGCGGTTTCAGTCATGGGTATGTTCTTCTTCTGAAGCTTAGGAACGACTAGCCAGACTGCAATGAAACTTTGAATGTAGCTTACATGTATCGTCACCCTTGCAGCTGCAAGTTTGTCTATTGACGTCTTCTTTTCGATCACTCCGCATTTAAAAATCGTCAGTCAAAGCCATCCGTTGAGATTGGTAAAACCGCACATTACTTCAGCTTTGGGCTGTACCAGGCAGGGACGTATCCAGGCCTTGTATTGAGGGGTAAAATCAGGTGCGGTGTCAGGCACCCGAAATGGAAACCGCAATACATATTCACCTCGTGGCACCAAAGACGAAAACATGCATGTAAGAAGTGTATTTTAGGCCAGCGGCGGCATCGGTGATGGGGTGGGGCCCAGGGGTGGGAGCTTGGGACGGAATTGGGTTCTACCGGCTCTAGCGCTATAGCACGGCAGAACTGGTGGAAGTTCACTTCTTCACTAACCCTCGCTGGGAGGATCACTCGTCGGACCGTTAGGCAGCGGCCCATTTGCGGCCTCGATGTTCCTTAGACAGTGCCTGACCAGACGGTGTGCGCGCCCCCATTCCGGTCGCAGCTTCCGGACAGCCACTTCGCTACCGCCTTGCTGACAGTGGGCCCGTGTCGTAAGGCACGCTGACGAGTTCCAGGACGTCTGCGGGAAGACATGAGGGAAAATCAGTTATATTCAATTCATGAAAAAATCACAAGAATACCTGCGCCACTTCTCCTAACAGTGCGAAAGGCAAGATCAAACATTGCAACACCCTGAGACATAGAGCTACAATGAATATAGCCTAAACCGCACGATATTACAAGGCACAATCTTCTTAAATGTCGTAAATGCTACTCTGACTTACCAGCCAAAACAACAATCAGATCAAACGCAGATAACTGGCGTTATCTTTAGTTAACTCCGTAACGCATTGTGTGCTCCATAAGTCATAACTCAGTGTTTGTTCGTTTATCGGCCGGCCGTCTCTCTCTTCCTGATATCCTATTGACCTATTCATCCTCCAGCTACCTCAGCTGCGACAGCCGCCGGTCCTCACTGCTCGCTCGGGCCGCGTAAAGTGAGGCTCAGCCGACTCGTTCTGGCCGCCCGCCGGTGACGTCACGGCCCCTCCGGCGAGGTCAGGTCGGGCCACCGCGCGCCAGTGCCGGCCGGACTTGGCGGTCCGAAATCATACTACCTCCGGAGCGCTACGGCAAAGACTTGGCTAGCCGGAGTAGAAACATATCGACCCAAACCCTTGCTCCCACGGCGTTCCGTTTAGTTACACCGGCTTAAATCTGGCATGCCGGAGTTGCCGGAGCAATACGGACTTGAGCCAAACCAAACTGCTGGCTGGGTTTAAAGCTATTGGACACATACGTGTGCAATACATAATACATACGGTAAATTGCAAATGGTCTGCTGGAAACATCTCGAAACCTTTGTAAACACCGTTATTGGGTGTGGGGCAAGTTACTCCATGGAAATGCCTTCACGGATAAGTTGAGGAGATTTATCATTGAGTGAGTGGTTTTATTAACCCGCGCCTTGCTGGGGGGGGGGGGTGTTTGAACACCCCCCTTGTGGTTTTTCGCGAATATCTAAAAAACGGCGGCGCGGAGCGCCGCCGTTTTTGGTACACCTTATCATACATCAATTCTACACATATTGTGAAAATTTCAGACCAAGGTCATTCAAGGTCAGGTCACCAGGTCACTTGAAGTGACCTCACCTCATAAAAAGTTTCAATGTCTGTCATAGCTACACCGAGTGACCGATCGCTTTGAAACTTTCAGCCATTGCTAAGAGCAATTGCATGTACAAAATGTATATCTCAGAATTTTGATATCGGTGACCTAAGGTCAGGTCAATTTTGCGACCTCCCCATTATAAGTCAATGGGAGAAAATTGAAATGCGCCTCCTTTGGACGAAAGACATTATAAACACTCCCAAACACTGAATTACAAGTGGTTTAGACACACTGAACATGAAAATGGTGTCCGTGACCCCTGTTTATGCCCTGAGGTCATCTTAGGTCACGAATGGTATCTAACAGTTTTTCGCAAATAACTTTTGATAGAGGCATGCTAGATCGATGAAAACGCCTTAGATGTGTTCAGCTCGACGATACGGATCGACTGATATGCAACATGACCCTTTCCGGTCAGGTCATGACCTTGACCTGAGGTCAAATTTTCAAGTTGACCTTTCAAGGTCAAGTTATAGTTCATTCGATACGTCTTGACGAGAGGAACACGATGCCGGTAAAAGTAAGCTCGTACAAGGCTTGGGTCAAAAGTTATTGCAGAAAAACTGTTTCCGAAAAAATCGGCTATTTTTGCAGTTTTTGCCCCCTGCAGGCAAAACCGTTGACGTTAGGTCAAATATGAGAGAATTACTCAGAAAGGGCGTTAATAGGGCTATCGAATGCGCTTTTCCGCGGCGCTGTATCTCTATTGGTTCCCGAGTTATGCGTTGGCTTCTTGGAAATTGTCGACATTCGACCTGGAAATCGGCGAAATTTCGCCTTCAATGACCTCTGGTGACCTGACCTTTGACCTGACCAAAAAATTGACCGAAGTGATTTCGTCATTATTTTTGACGCTCTTTCGAACGCCGCCTTCCGCGTATCGCTACGTGGCCCAGGAGCCGAGTTAGAAGGGGGGGGGTGTTCAAACACCCCCCCCCCCCAGCAGGGCGTGGAAATCCAGGACCCCCAGCAGGGCGCGGGTTAAAGTGCATTCATTTTGTCACACGATGAATCGGACATGACTCACGCATATCGTGTTTCTTATGAGTGCTAAACGTCAATTCTGGGTTGAAGCTCCACCAAGGTCAATATTTTTTTTTTAACTTGAACGTTTGATTTCGATAAAAAAACGTCAGTGCACCATAAAACTGAACAGAGAAAAGGCTGCTCTACCACGCGTGCACACTCTCGGTCACGGCCGCGGCCCGTATCCCGCCCAGACGCCAGGTCTGACACCCGCGACCCGACCGCCGACCGCTCACCCCCACTCTAGCACAGCTCGTCCGGTACCACCCCATATCACCACTCCACCGCCCGCCGTATCACTTTTAGCTCAACGTAGCATAGCCCTCTGAGCCTAAAAAAACTTGAACTCGGCCCGGTGCAGCACGGCCGGCCCGACGGAGGGTTCCCGTAAGAGGTCAGGTCGGGTAACGCGGGCCACAGGTCACCTCGCACTGAACCCGGTGTCCGGCCGAGTCCTCACAGCGGCACCGGCGGGCCAGCTCCGCGCCCGCGGCTATACCTCAGTAACGTCGCCGCTGACTCGTCGTAACCATCGTCGGGGCTCTCGTGTAGACTCGAGTGCGCCGCCGTCACGTGGTCGCCGAATTTGACCGGGCGGCGGCGCGGGTAGACCGCTGCTGTTCGGGTCACCGCGGGTTGACGGCGCACTTGACTAGTTCGGCACCTCGTCGTCAATGAAGCCGGCCGGCGGTGCCAGAGGAGGGAGACTGTCCAGCCCCGGCGGACTGGGGAGGCCCCCTTGCGGTGGCGGCGCGGCCTCGGCCACCGCCACAGGCAGCGCAGATCGAGGTGGGGGCGACGGCGGTGGCGGCCGGCTGGATACCGAGACCGACTGCATCTGGAGGAGCTCGGCGGCCGGCGGCTCCGCTGGGCGGCCGTGCGGACGGTGCCGCGGCAGGCTGCGGTAGCCGGCCGGCGGCACACCGGCCAGCTGCTGGTGGTAGGACGGGCTGCGGCCGACGGTGCCACTGCGGCGCGGATCCGGCCCGGGGTGCACGTCCACGTGCACCAGCGGCGCCGGCTCATCGGCCCACCGCAGCGCGCCCAGCCGCTTGGAGGAGCGGCGCCGCTCGTAGCCCGTGGGTTAAGTCTCCGCCGGAGCAGCGGTCGGCGTGGCGTGCCTGCGGCGGCCAACCGGCGCCTGCGCCCGCCGCGCCCACCACCTTGGGCGCCGAGCACGTGCTGCTGGGAGTATCCACGGCCGTGCTGATGACCTCGGTCTTGGCATCGGCCTCGGCGGGCTGCCGCTGTTGCCTCCTGCGCGCGAATCGCAGCGCCACCAGACAGACGAGCAGGGCCAACAGTGCCAGCAGGAGCGCCAGCGGGGCGCCTACCGCCGCCAGATAGGTGGGTCTCTCGGCGCTGACTCAGAACTGCTACTCCCCGGAGGCAGTAGCACTCGCAGTGTGTGACCGAGCTGGCGCCGGCCATATTGGTCGCCGTGCAGCGGAACACTTCCTCGTCCGCCACGTGTTGGCGTGCAGGTCCACCCCGTGCAGACCCAGCGACAGTCCGTCCGGCTGCATGGTGAATAGCCGGTTACCGTCCAATCGCAGCCACTGCAGCTTGGTCTGAG